CAGCAGCTTTAGGATTACAGTTCAGCTGGGTACCCGGGCAAGAAAACTCTTAATGGGCTGAACTTTCTCCTAGGAACCTCTCAGGAGAGCATCCTGTCTTCAAGCAGTTTAACCTGAACCGCCGTTGACGGTAACACAACACAGAGACCAACCATGGGGAAAATTACTGATGAGTCTCATTTTTCCCTGCAACTCAGCACCCAGATGGTGCCCACGGACAGTCCAGAGGGGCAGCACCCTGTGGCCCTCTCCTGGGAGATGTGACAGAGCCTGCCATCAGCAAAGATCTCCTAGTAGACCGGGGTGTGGAGGACCCCAAGGTCCTGGGTATCCCCACAGATCCATCCACAGATTTCTCATTATGATGGTAACATCTCAGCCTGCAGTTCATAGGCGTCCCCTAGAAAGTCTCCAGACACAGCCAGAATCAAGACTGGTCCTTGTGATAACAGAGAGTGAGCCACCCTGCCCGAGGTCCTCTCTGGGGATGGAAACACCAGCTAAATACACTGCATTACCCTGACCCATTGCTGCCTGGAATATTTTCTGCCGTCAAGCTCAGGTCTAGGTTATCCTAGAGCTGGGTAAACACCACAAAATATTTTCCCTGCTTGCTTTGACTTGGATTTCAGTCTTTGGGTGTGTTTGCTCTGGCTACAACCCTTTAAGCTTTAGCATTTCTTCCTGTCAGTGTTTCAGGGGAGGTGCCTGCGGAGGGGAGAGGGGATCGCAAGGGCACAGAGGAAGAAAGTGAGCTCGGGATTGGCATGGAAAAGCCCACCCTGCTCCTCATGCACCCACCTGCCTGCACCGACCACTGGGACAGGCACATGGGCTACAGCTGAACTTAATGGTAATTACGCGACTTTGCATCATTAGCACACCATTACTCTTCCTGAGTGAATTTTCCCTGCTAGGAAAACTCCCTCCCTCCTGCAGGCACAGGGAGCCTTGTTAACTTTTAATCGATCGTTAATTAGCCCAAGAAAGATAAGCCCAGCAGAGCTGGTGGCATTGCCAAGAGAGACAAACAGCCGCCTGCAGCCCAGAAATGTTTCACTTGCCCAACTTCACTCTTCTTAGTCCTGAGCAAAGGTCAGTCCCAAGACAAACAGGGAGTTGGGTCCCCTTTTCAATCATGGGAGCTGGCCAAAACCCTTAAAGAAATTAGTGAAATTCAGAGAAATTTTCAATCTTTTCTATTTCACAACCGCCTGGAAGAGCAGCTCAATCATGCATATGAGAAACAGCCCAGAAACCTGCAGCCATGAGGGGGGGCGACGGCAGGGAATTTGGCAGGAGAAGATAGTCCCTGGATTTTCTTCTGCTTCTCCCTTTTTTCTTTTTTCTTTTTTTTTTCCTGAAAGTGCTGGATTATTGGTGTGTCTCTCCATAAATCCCTCTGGGCCAGGCAGACCCTGTTCCCGGGAGAGAGGTGGATTTTGCCCATCACCAACCCGCAGGCAGGGAGCCAGGCTCAGGGCTCGCTGCCAGCTGGACCTGAGCCCTCCCCGAGCTGTCCCCAGGAGCCTCTGCTTCATCTGAAGGTTATTTGAGATGCAGGGATGGGAGCAGACAGGCAGCAGGCAGGGGGAAAGGAGGGGACTGTGACCTCTAACCGAAGGGACACCCCAGGCACGTTAATCCTAATCCTGAGACGGCCTGTGGGGACCAGGAGCTGCCGGGAAAGCCTGACTCACTCCCTGCTATTTCTTGCTACAGCTGAGAGTGCAGATAGAATTAGGGATGGGAGCAGACAGGCAGCAGGCAGGGGGAAAGGAGGGGACTGTGACCTCTAACCGAAGGGACACCCCAGGCACGTTAATCCTAATCCTGAGACGGCCTGTGGGGACCAGGAGCTGCCGGGAAAGCCTGACTCACTCCCTGCTATTTCTTGCTACAGCTGAGAGCACAGATAGAATTTCATAGAATCATAGAACAGTTTAGGTTGGAAGGGACCTTAAAGATCATCCAGTGCCACCCCCTGCCCTGGGCAGGGACACCTCCCACCACACCAGGTTGCTCCAAGCCCCCTCTAACCTGGCCTTGAACGCCTCCAGGGATGGGGCAGCCACAGCTCCTCTGGGCAACCTGGGCCAGGCTCTCACCACCCTCACAGCAAACAATTTCTTCCTGAGATCTCATGTCAATCTCCTCTCTTTCAGTGTCAAACCCTTCCCCCTCCTCCTATGGCTCCCCTCCCTGATCAAGAGTCCCTTTCTGAGGGATAAGATGAGCTCCTTTGAAACACCTCCGTGTAAGAGATCTTCTGGAAACAGCCCAAATCAGGCCCCATGACCTCAGTCCCCAAGTCCTTGTGGGCTTCCACATCCCCTATCATCCCCTGTATCTGCTGGTCTGTCTCTGCAGGGCATCTGGAAATGCCACCCACGAAACTACACGCTGGTCTGGCAGGAAACAAAAGTTCAAGAGGAAGGTTTGCCCATAGACATCCAGTGGAGCACGAGGGAGGGCCCAGAGGTGCCGTGCTGCACAGGCCCACGGGCAGGTCCTTGTGCCCCAGTAAACCGCCCCATCACCAGCCAAATCCCGAGTCTATTATTCTGTGATTCTGTGATTTATGTGCCAGTGCACCAAGCATGGGTGCAGGCTCCAGCTTTCCCCAAGCAGCCATCCCGACCCTGGGCCTGGCCGACCATGAGAACTTTGCAAACAAACTTTCTCCCCAGCATGTTAAGTTAAAGAAGAGTCACTTCTGTATTTAGGAGTGAATGTGTATTTTCCTCACCCAAAATGCTTCAAGAAACAACTACCATTGTTTGGGAGCATTTCTCATGCCTCATAGCAATGTCTCCATTCAAACAACCTGATGATGACATACTTAGACCATGGAAGGTCGGTTCCGTTGCCCTACCTGCCATAAGAGATCAGCACCTGCTTTTTTTAAGGAGTTTCTTAACAACTTCAATCCAGCACAAACAGTCTCATTCCTGCCTATTGATGCTAATTCATTCCATATTCCTAATCAGCCACCAGACGAGGACTGGTCACTAAAGGACCCCTTCACTGGATGACCATTGGGTAATGTTGTTCTCCAGCTCGTGCACTAGAACATCTCCATCCCTGAAGCTGTTCAAACCTTGGCTGGACCCTGAGGAACCTGACTGGTGTTGCCTGCAGGCATGAAGCTCTTTGCTCCCTGCCCACGCTGAGCAATGGTGGCTCTGGGGTGGCCGATTTGGCTCTCAACCAACTCCTGTGGCACGCTGACACCTGATGTGAGCATCTACGCTGGAATGTTCCCTGTGCTGGTGAGGTGAAGCTGTAGGGATCACACCAGTAAAGACAAGGAGCACCTGTGCACAAAGTGCCAGTGGAGAACACCAGAGGATGGAGGGTCACCACCAATGGTGGGTGGTGAGAAGTCACCTCACTGCGTGTTCCCACACCACATTGTATTTTCTCACCTCAGTGGAGGTGGAGCACATCCCACTCCAGCTGTGCCGAGTCCAGCAGCTTCGGCTGAGGTGGCTGTGGGATGACAACCCTTGACAGAGCAGGGACCATCTCAAACCGCAGCTGCACCTTGATAAATTAACACATACCAAAACCCCAAGGCACTTTTTTGGTATAACCTATATAATTCAGGAAGCCAACATACGTTGGTGTTCCCAGCCTGAAGCACCAAACACACCTTATTCCCTGTCTTCCCATCCCTCACTGGGGCAGATGGGCCACAGCTTTGATGCTGGGAGAGTCGCAAAATGCCCCGTCGAGTTGATTTCACCATATCTATGAGAGGCAAAACTAGTTTTGTTAAATAGTCTGGCCTTAACATAGCCTTGCTTATTTTAACAGCAGCTGTTTGCTAAATCTTTTGTACTTACAAGAACAAAACCCTCAGCTATGCAGCACTTCAAGGATCAGACTTGAGCCCTGATCCTAAACTTCTCGTCATGCATGTTTTTAGAACAAAGTACCTTCTTTCTGCTTTGGATTTAAGCATGCATGTTCCTCCTTCCACTTTTCTTTTCAAAAAAGAAAAGAACGGGGAAGGGGGATTTGTGCTTTAGGGTTTGGGGTGGGTTTTTTTTGTTGTTGAGAACAAACAAAAGCAGATTATCATTCCAGCTCGGAAAATAAAGTATTTTCCTTTTGAGTTTTATTTGCCTTTTCAAAAGACCCTTTTCTTTTTATTTAAAAACCACCTTTTGTTATTCTCTAATCAGAGTGGAAAAAAATTTGATAGCTAATACATAACAAAGTGCTGATTAACAAAAGTTATTCTCATCTGGTTTTTGGCTCGCCTGAGCTGAAATGACTTTTCCCACGTTGTTTATTTGATTCTGACACGTTGGCCCTCACACCTACCAACTAAGCCTCTTTCCTTGAATATCCACAGGACGAGGAGGTGATACTTGAGGCAGTTAAACATTTGCAAGCGGTGTTTCATATTTCAGACTAGCTTCAGTAGCAACAGCTCCGTCTGCAAACTCTGCACGCCCAATGACGCAGAAAAGGTTTCCAAGTCAGAAATACCCCAATATTTGGCTGTTGGACAGAAATACCCCCTGACGATGCCCTTCGTCCCGGGGCTAGACCTTGCCCATTGCCCTGGGAGCTGCCAGGAGCTCAGCTCTCAGCATAACTCCTATTTCTCTGCAAAGCAACACTGCAAAGGTCAAGCAGCCTCCCAGAAGGGAAGGGCATGCCCAGATCTCACCTTGTACACACAAGCGCTGCCGGTTTCCTTGCTCCTTAATTCAACACAAAACCAGTTTTGGATTTACGACATCCAAACCTGCTTTTTCACTCACAGAGCAGAAGCAGCTCAATTAACCACCACAGGTCTCCATGTCATGCCCTGTGGGACCAAGCTCATGAATATAATGACTATATGAGCCTCTTCCTGCCCTCGGGTCAGCTGCTCTGCAAAGGACATGGGTGCTCCCTGCCCTCCTCGTGGGGATACAGAGCCTCCTCCTGCGCCAGAATTACTCCACTCAAACTCTGTACTTGTATTCGAAATAAATCAACATTTAATATTTTACAATTAACTTTTAAAAGTTCTTTGAACAGTATTTTACAGATCAGCACAGACATTACACAGATTTGGTGAGGCTGCACGTTACGTACAAGGGTGACCTGAAAGAACCCCGAACTTCTCTAATATCCAGAGAGCATCAGAGGTCAAAACCTTAGCCAGGATTACGAGTCCCTAGAGTTTGTGCTTGTTTTCCTCTACCAGATGGAAATTCTCTTCTCTAGTAATTCTGTAGGGCCAGCTGAAACCCAAGAGGTTTATGTTATTAGAAGCAACAGGGATACATTTAGCCATGGATATCAAGATCACAAATAGCAAGATTTTGACAGGATAAGGTGTTATTTTTAAGTATTAAACAAAAAACCCAGCTGTCAAATTTCAGCCCTGTATGAGAAGACACACACAAACCTGTTCGGGAAATGAGAAGTCAGTGGGAAAACTTTTTCCAAGTGCTTGGAAAGAGCTGTTAAAATCTGTTTCTGACCCCTGGAGCCTATTGGACTTAAAAAACTGATGTGCAGAAGAGCACAGCAGTGACCTCAGCGCGCGTTCCCACGTCACCCCACTGGCATGCTGGGAGAGATGGGACAGCCCACCAGTGTCTTGGTGTCCCTGTTGAGCCTGTGCTGCAAGCAAGGGACGGATGCTGCTCCATGCAGGTCAGGAGAGATGGGCGCTCCCGGAGTCCACGCATGGCCAGGGAAGGTGGGTAGTTCCAAGCTGGGTCCAATCATGGTGGAGACAGAGGGCCTACATGTGTTCAAGTGATGCTTCGCCCTGCATGAGGGCCTTTTCTTGGAGTCCACAAGACAACACCATCCCTGGGATGGTTTATTCAAGTAACAGGATGAAGCGCAGAAGCCTCAGGAGCATGTTCACCTCTTATTTCTGCTGCTCCCTGGCCACTCGCAGAAGCTGCATCCACAGCTGCTGAGGGCATCAAAGAGCCAGCTGGTACCTTCTTAACCTGAGATGTCCCCACACAACAGAGCAGTGGAGCCAGGATCAGAGCACAGGAGGGATCCCCATAACACTTCCAGGAGGGATGTGGAGGAATCCAGCAGGCAAGCCTGGCCCATGCTCCTCTGAGATAACTGAAGCCCTCGGGTCCTTTTCCTGGCAGATTTAATCTCAAATGACATTGCTGTTGTCCCGCCAGCCCTCGGGGACAGCGCCCAACCTTGTTCTAACTAGTGCTAAGAGCTGCCCAGGCCCCAATTTCTGGAGGATCAAGGTGCCTACAATGAACTGATCACACCACGGCTGCTTCCTGCAGCCTCCCAGCAGTATTGGGGGTCCCTTCCAGACATTTTCCAGGGAGCACATGTCCTCGGCACTAGGATCCTTCTAGCCTGCAGCAGGCAGCGTGCCCTTCTGCCTGTTACCATTAGTGCAACCACCAAAGACTACAGAGAAACAGCTTGAGGGCTATGAACCGGGCTTCTCCAGTCTCATTTTTTTGGCTCCTGGGGTCAGAATCTCTAAATACTCCCAACTATTGCACCTTTCTGTACCTACAGCCTTGCAGAGAAGGGAGGGCATAAAGCCCCTTTGTAGGGGAGGGGAATCCCAAATCCTATCGTCGCTTGCGAGTGTCACTAGTGTTTTTGGTCCTGGGTCCTTCTCTAGCAAAGCTGCCTCTTCCGCTGAGCTTAAGGCAATTCCAGTGGTTTCCCCAGGACATCCCTCCCTCCTGTGAGTGTGAGCATGGTTCCTGCCATATTTCAAGCAACTATTGAGGATTCAGCCTCTGGAATGTCTCTAGCAGAGAGTGCTGGGGAGCAGAATGCAAGAACATGGGCTGAACAGGGAGTACATCTCCCTGGAGAATCCTGAAATTCTGCAGAAATTGGAAGTTCATCTCCTGCGGGTCCTGGGTTTACAGTAAACGCACGTATTCATGACAAGCTGTCCATGCCCTGGTATGGCCTATTGCACTCGATTCACTGGAACACACCAGCATCCTACAAGCCATACCGGGCTCTTTCTGGGCCTCAGCTGGGTTGCTCTGCTCTGCACCAGTTCTTTGCAAGACACCCAACCTTCATAATTCAAAGGAAACCTTGAGGAAGCCTGTCCCCAAAGAACTGTCCTGAGCATGCTTGACCTGTTACGGGTGAAATGCCATCGGGACATCAGTTGGGTGATCCGCAACTCTGCAAGCATCAAAGGCTGCCTACCACCACCCAGCCAAGGACATTCATTTTCCAAAATATCTCCCATGAGCTCCCCCCAGATCTCACTGGCCTTGCAGTCACTGTCAAATACAACCACAAGACCATGTTCTCGCAGGAAAATATCACTGCCCTTGTCTTGCCCTCTCAATCCAGGTGTTGGCAGTCTGCTGAACCAGGTGGACATCTCAAGGAAACCACTTCCCTCCCATTTCTGAGGAACCCTGTGAGGTACCAGTGCACAACACCAGTGTTCCCATTTCCCAAGGATGGGCTAAGCCCAGACCAGCAGCAGCTCATCCACCCATGCTAAGCTTCAGGCTGCAGTATGTCTTGGATAAGAACAGATGGGTCTCCAGCCCAAAGGAGGACAGTCAGCTTCATTTTCCTGAGGCTGTTTTGGTGTTGGATCTGAGTTTGGCCTGAGACAACACAGGGTTCTTCTATGGCAGTGCTCCACTGAAGGTGGCAATGGGTAAACACAGGAGAGAATGAAACTCAGAGGGGTCTTCGGGAGGCAAAGAGGACGTTCTCAGTGCAAAGAGATCGCTGTCCCTGGGTTTGTAGCACACAGAGATCTCACACCTGCAGGGGAACGAAAAGAAACCAAGATTAAGTAATGTGTGTGGCTGAAAATCACAGTCCTCGGGTGCAGCAGAAATGCCTGCAAACAAACAGGAATTGTTCTTTAGTACGACTGGAGTTCGAGTGCTGAGAGCTCAGATCTTTAAGCTGGCTCAAACTGGGACCTAGAGCAGACATCCATCAAGACTAATTTCTGAAACTCATTAGGAAAAATGAGAATTACCCAAGTTTTGGGGAGAGGGAAGTAGCTCCTTTTCCATTTTGTGCATTGAACTCTCCCACCAGCTCCTTGAGTCGCACAACAACCAGTTATGTAAAACGCTTCTCTTCTGGGTTATATAAGAAATAATATCCCAAATCTTTTGCATTGGAGGCAGCATAATCTTGCAGAGTTCTGCTCTCTCTGAGGCAGAAATTAAAATGCTTGTGTATTTTTAAGACACGTGGATCAACTGGTTCGATCTCTTTGTGCTCATGGAAGTATGTTGTCTACAGTGAGTTTTCAAATTCCATCACCTGGGGAGCCAGCCCTGGGGACATGACTGATGGATGAACAATCAAATGAACAATTCTTGCTCTACCCCAGTTTCTCCCATGAAGATCATGGGTTCCTTCTGCAATGGGTATACCAAAGATGGTGGAGAACCCAAATGAGGTTAAGAAGTTGAAGGATCTGACTGGGGACAACCCTTTAGACTGTGGAAGTCATGAAGCTCAACTACTGCTGGGATCTGAGCAGGACCACCCATCCCACCTGAGCTCAGCCACACTACAGAGCTTGGAGCTATGTCACCCAGCTTGGGCATCTGGCATAGATCCACAATGGTGCTCAGGACCTTGTCCCTCCGTTGGCCACTCCAGCTTCACGGACAAGTCCTCACACACAGGACACACCATCCCAGGAGCAGTTGGCCACGCTGCAGTTCCTACCTGGTTACACTCTGCAGGATCTTCTGCTCATCCTGGTCCAGGCACACAGCAAAGGAGGACTGGAGGCCGATAATCTGGACCTTGTCTACTTTTATCTGGGACACGCTGATCTGCTGATGGAAGAAGAGTGCGAGTGAGGGAGCTGCCAGGCTCAGCACGTTATCCCTGTGCAGGGAAGGGGAGCCCTAAGGCAGGCCTGGTGGCCAACAGCAAGGAGATCCCCCAAGGATGTATTGTCTCCTGCCCTGCTTCCCTCCCAGCTGACATCCTGTCTCCAAATGTGAAAGCACCATGTTTTGAGTTACCTGATTGAAACTTTTTTTGGATTTGGAGTTTTGCCTTTTGACCACCTCCGTCATGGTCAAGTTGAGACACTCTGTCTTTGAGGCTGTAACAAAAGAAAACTGTTATCACTTGGGGCTTCTGGGCTGCTGGTAGGAACCCATGTGGTCCCTCCACCCCTCAAAGCATCCCAGAGACAGCGGTTCTCAGCAGGACTCCACTGTGAAGGGAAGTATGATACGGTTCTAGCTTTCCTTCCCCAATGATTTCCTTTCCCCTACATGGAAAGAAAGCAATCGGAGAGACAGAGGTAAACTTCTGAATCATTTCCAGCTGCTTTCCAAACATATAGCAGCAAAGGGCATTTAACTGTCTTGGGTCCTAAACAGAAGACCCATTGCCCCATTGTCATGAGGAAATTCTAGATCTCCCAGCATGGCCTTTCCCGCAGTCCCCCTGGAGATGCTTTTTCGTGTCTGGAATTACAGTGACATCCTGTGGTCAAACTGCTGAGTGTGAAAAGCAAGGGAGATAATGAAGGGGACCAGGTTTTCTTGGAAGGAAGAGATTCATGAAGCAGAAGCTTCTCCCCAACGTGGAATCGAGGACACTCCCTGAACCAAACCCACAGCGTTGGCAGCACAAGCAAAGCTCCTGAACTAGCCCAGAACCACCCAAATGTACAGAGAAAGTGAGAAATTAATTCCTGCTGGGTTTTTTTCAGAGTTGTTTGCACGGGTTTCATGGATGGGGTAGGAACAGGAGGGACAGAGGTTTAGGTTAAGCTGTATGAGGCACATAGGAGCTGTCTCCTATTTGGTAGATCACCCGTTCGCTGTGACTACTCTGCTCACAAACCACACATCTGCCAAGACACAACACACATGAGGAAAGAGGAACTAAAAAAAACCCCTCTGTTTACTCAGAACTGGGTGTCTGACTGCCAAAACAGCAGCTCTTAAGCAAGAATGAACAGGTATTGCCTCTAAATACGCACACAGACCAAAAGTCCTGCTGCTTTTAAAAGGCTCAAAGCCTTATTAATACCCCATTGGAAAGCTGATTTGAAAAAAAGTTATGAACCAAAGCCGTGTGGCCGGCAGCTATCTCTGAGCTGCAGGAAGGAAACGGGGCTGAAGCATCATCTGGGCAAGAGCCTGCTGAAAGCTGCTGTGGGTGGCAGGACCCCTCCCTTGGTCCTACTTAATTTAACAACAGTTCTACCCGTCTCTCCCAAAGAGAGTCCCTCTCCCCTTCAGTGGAGGGCCACGAAGATGATCAGAGGGCTGGAGCACCTCTGCTGTGAGGACAGGCTGAGAGAGCTGGGGTTGTTCAGCCTGGAGAAGAGAAGGCTCCGGGGAGACCTTACAGCAGCCTTCCAATATCTGCAGGGAGCTACAGGAGAGCTGGGGAGGGACTCTTTGTCAGGGAGTGCAGTGACAGGACAAGGGGTAATGGTTTTAAATTGGAAGAGGGAAGATTTAGATTAGATACGTGAAAGGAATTCTTTACAGTGACAGTGGTGAGACACTGGAACAGGTTGCCCAGGGAGGTTGTGGATGCCCCATCCCTGGAGGGGTTCGAGGCCAGGCTGGATGGGGCTTTGGGCAACCTGGTCTGGTGGGAGGTTCCAACCCGCCAACCAAAGCAGGGGGGTTGGAACTAGATGATCTTTAAGATCCCTTCCAACCCAAACCATTCTATGATTCTATGATTCTCCTTACCCTTCCTAAACCAGTGTGGTTCTGGAAAGCACCACTTCTCCAGTGATCATCCTGCTGTTTGGAGCATCCCAGCCCTATCCATCATGGACATCCCATTTCCTGGCTGGAAGCTTTAGGACAACAGGAAATCAAGTGCCTTTCGTCCCCGATGTGGTGCTAAGGGCAGCCGAAGACTACAGCAAGTCCCAGGGAACGCCAGGCACCTTCCATCTGTCTTCTCTTCCATTCACATGTCCCTGCTTTACTCCAGCTAGAATATCCACACCATCCTCTTGCTCCACCAGTCCCTCCCCATACAAAGCCACAAAGACCACCTCTACCCACCAAGTTCTTCATACTTCTTGCAGGCTTTGCTAAGGTTGACAGACGTGCAGACCTTCTCAACGTCATTCCAGTGACTTCTTCCACTGACGGCTGTCTGCAGAGACCCAAGGAAAGCCCATGAGATGCAATGCTCCAGGCTGATGGTACCCTGCCTCCCACCCCTAACCATCTGGCTGGACTAGCTCAGACCTGGATTTACCTGGAGCTGCACTGACAAAGTTTGAGTAGGCATTAAAATTAATTTAACCTTGGATTTACAAAAATTGCCCAGGTTTAACATTAAGTAACTGCAGAGGGACCAACACAACAACTCAAATATGAAAAAATAACTCAAATATGAGAAAAAACTACTCCACAGTGAGGGTGACAGAGCCCTGAAACAGGCTACCAGGGAGATTGTGGAGTCCCCTTCTTTGGAGATTTTCAAGACCCGCCTGGATGCCATCCTGAGTAACATGCTCTGACAAGCTCTAGGCAATCCTGCTTCAGCAGGGGAGTTGGACTAGATGATCTCTATGGTCCCTTCCAACTCTAAAAATTCAGTGAAATTCAGTGAAATTCAGTGAAACAAGAGGATTGCTGTGACCAGCAGAAGATCGCTCCCTGGAAGCAAAGTCCATCAGTGTACAGTGACACCCAGGACGTCTCCAGCTTATGGAAACTGGCTGCACATCCCCTGTTTTACTGGGCTGAACAGGTGTGGAAAGTCACCCCCAATTAGCCAGTAAGTAGACAATTATCTTGAGTTTGGCTCATCTGGGCTTGGATTCGGGCTCCTCCAGCACACAGTCAGCGCTTGCCTCTCTCAGCCCCCAGCAGAGACGTGTTTGCCCAGCACCGAAGAGATTTTCTGCCCCGTTTTCTTCGTGCAACCCCCGTGTGCTCACCTTGCTGTAGGCGATCTGTAGTGTTAGCGGGATGGCCTCCCTGTCTCCATCTATGCCCAGCCTTTTGCTGCCTGGACCTGCACAAAACAAGGAGCAAACATCACACGGTGGCCTTTTATCCCCATTCTCCAGCCGAGATACGGCAGCGCACTCCCTACCTACAGAAAGGGGAGAAAAAAATCCGGTTTGCTGCACACAGATGCGGAGCAAAAAAAAGGCAAAAAGAAAAGGTGGCTTAAAAAGCTGCCAGAAAGCAATTAATCCAGTGCAGAAATTTCAACACAAAAGGACAACAAGCAGCTCTGCACAACTGAAAGGGGTGCTGGCTAAGCCGGTGCAGAAGGGTCAGCGCTCCGGGGAAAACACAAAGCAATAAAAAGCCGCGTTGCTAACCCGGCTCCTGTTTTTCCAGGCGTGTTTGTGACCACATTAAATTAGCCTTGCAATACCGTGCCCAACGCTTTAACTTTTCCTCCACCCCTCCCTTCCCCAGATAATTTTTTGAAGATGTGAAGTGTTGTGCTGCCAGCCAATCCAAGGGAAAAAAAAATAATAAAAAAATAAATAAAAATCAAAGTCAGAAAGGATTGGTGGTTTCAAGAGTTATTGGGAAGACGTCTTAGCCAAGCCTGTATTTCGGGGGAGCAGGGTGGTGACGCTTCACGTGGAGGGTATTTTATGAGCTCTGTTTAGAAAGACAAGGTCAGATCACAGAAAAGCAATTGGTTAAAAAAAAACAAACATTAAGGCACAGGTTTAAGTGCAGTGTTTCTGGTTGGCCATGAGATGTCTCTGCCATCTGCACCGCACCAGACCCGGGGACCCAGGAGAGCTGGAGAGCACGCTGCAGGCAGCTGCTTCTGCCATTGCTTCTTGTCTCTACTCATTTTAGGAATTCCCGGTGTAAGCACTGATGGATCTCCCTTGCAGGAAGGCTACAAGCACATGCACGAACCTTGCTTTGCCCAGTAAACTTAAGAAAATATAAGCGGCCTTCCAGACCCTAAAGGGGGCCTTCAGCAGAGATGGGGAGGGACACTTGATCAAGGAGGGGAGCCATAAGATGAGGGGGAAAGATTTTAAACTGGAAGAGAGGAGGTTTAGATCTCAGGAAGAACTTCTTTGGTGTGAGGGTGGTGAGAGCCTGGCCCAGGTTGCCCAGAGAAGCTGTGGCTGCCCCATCCCTGGAGGGGTTCAGGGCCAGGTTGGAGGGGGCTTGGAGCAACCTGGGCTGGTGGGAGGTGTCCCTGCCCAGGGCAGGGAGTGGCACTGGGTGGCCTTTAAGGTCCCTTCCAACCCAAACCATTCTATGAGGTTTTTTTATAAATGACACTCCTGGATGAAGCACAAGCAACAGAAAGTAGCAAAAAAGGAAAAGATGAAGAGTGGCACTTGGCCAGGTGCTGATGAGAGGAAGGAAATGTGCTTGAAGCTGTTTCATTGCAAATATGTTTTAGGGTTAACAGCGGTAAAAACAACAAGGCGTTGCCACAGCTTTGCTCCTCAAAAGGAATGCGAGAATCGTGATGCCTCATTTCCAAATTTGTGAAAAGACGTCTGGATCTTTGCTCAGGATGCAGCCTCGGCTCTGACACTTCTTCCAGCCCACACTCCCTCCTGCCCCTCTGTCCCGTTCTCCCTATGGTTTGCAGACCCCTCACCCTGAGGGCTGTGGGCGCAGAAGCAGCTACAGACCTGATGCTTTGATGGCCCGTGTGGCTGCCGAGTGGCCCAGCTCGAGGGAGTGGATGAAGACTTCGGTCATCTTTTCTCCCCCGATGAAGGTGAGCTGCCAGGGGGAGAATAGAGGAGACGTGGCGGTGAGTAGACCCAACCCACGCGAGCCAACGTTCATCCCTCTCACTCCTTTCTACAGAAAACAGGTCAGTTTGAGAAAATCCTCTCACATTTTCAAAATACACCTTTTGACCATCACTGTGGGTGACACTTCCCAGTAGCTGTACTTCAGGGATCTCATCAATGTTTATCAATATCTAAAGGGCAGGTGTCAAGAGGATGGGGTCAGGCTCTTCTCAGCGGTGCCTGGTGACAGGACAAGGGGCAACAGGCACAAGCTGGAACACGGGAAGTTATATCTCAACATGTGGAAAAACTTCCTTCCTTACTGTGAGGGTGCCAGAGCCCTGGAACCCCCAGAGAGGTGGTGGAGTCTCCTTCTCTGGAGACATTCAAACCCCGCCTGGACACGTTCCTGTGGGACCTGCTCTTGGTGGACCTGCTCTGGCAGGGGGTTGGACCGGATGACCTGCAGAGGTCCCTTCCAACCCTTACAATTCTGTGATTCAGTGATGCTTCTGACTGTTTTAACAGACCACCAGCAAGTAAAACAACCCAAAAACCTAATTTTCATTTAAAGAAAATGCCCCAACCCACTAGAAAGAAAAACCAAGATGAACCTAACGTCTGAGCATCACTCTGGGTGACACAAATCCCACTAACAGCAGTGGCTCTGCTTGCTGCAGCCTGTCCTGTGCCACCACACCAGAGCAGCCATTGTTGCCGTGAGTTCAGCCTTCCCCACCACCTCTGCCCCGTGCACACAGTGGGAGACGGAAAATTGGCTTCACAGAGGGGTTTGGTTTGGAAAGCAGAGCACTGGGTTTCCAGCTATGTGAATAACCTGTCAGCACCAACAGGAGCTGCTTTGTGTCACGAGAAATGGTATTTGGATGGAAAACCACTTGTGTGACTTAAGGATTGTCTGGACAAGGATCTGCATGGTGTCAGTCCTTGAGCCAGGAGTTTTGGTGGGCACCTGGGGACCGAGTTCTGCCCCACCAGCATGTGGTGGCTGTGCCATACCCTCATCTGCTCCACAGGCAGGTCCTGAGTTGGTGGCACAGGCAGAAACACCCCCCCTTTTCCCCATGTCAAGACAGGGCTGAGCCCCTTCCCCTACCTCTGTCTGGTAGAGCTGGAGCAGGATGGGGCGCGTGGCGAAGCGGCAGTAGTAGAGGATCATGTCAGCCAGGATGGGCAACTGCTCCTGGGAGTCCTGCTGGGGCTCAGCATCTGGCTTGGCAGACTGCAGTGAGAGAAGAAGTCACAAGCCTGATGGGGTACATGGTACCCACAGTCCGGTGCCAAGAACTGCCCATCCCACCCCGCCGGGGATGGAAACCCTCATCCTGACCATCCACCTCTATCCCAGGTCCACATAGCCCAACCTGCCGCACAGGATCGTAGTGGCTCAGTGCTGAGCAGAAACTCTCTGCTCAGCTGCCTCCCACCTTGGTGAAGGGCGAAGCCAAGCCCGACCAACTGGTATGCACATACCTGACACAGGACGTCCATGGGCAGGTTCATCAACCCAAGAACGTTGCGCTCGTACCATGGATCCAACATGCCAATGTAGTGGGAGATGTCGTTGGTGCTGCTCTCCTTCCCAGCCAAGGTGGGGTCCTGAAACCGGACACACAGGGGTCACACCAGGGGTCCCCCCAGGCTCCTCACCCCACGATTGTAGCTGGTGGAGGAGACACCAACGCTCCCCTCAGCCTGCCCTGCCAGCCTCCTCGCACACTACTCTTGGGGCCAAGCAGAGCACTGGTAGCACCGTGAGCCCCACGGTGAGCAGGACACCTACCGCCTGTGCCGAGGCCCGGAGCTGCGGGTCCCCCAGGGATGGGGAGGGATGCATCAGTGGGGCTGATGGAGCCAAGCAGCTCCTCTTCACGGGGACGTAGAAGAACTGCAGCTTGAAGTACCTTGTCAGTGAGGGGCAGGTGCTCTCCTTGAGCCTAGAAGGTAGGAGAGGGCTGGGTGAGCCAAGCCCTCCAGAACGTCCCAGCAGGGCCAGTTCCCCCAGCTGGGTCCCCTAACCCACCGGCTCACCTGAGGTTGCTGTAGGCTCGGGCCACCTTCCCCGAGATGCGGTCGGAGCCGAAGACCACGATGCGCAGGGTGGCCACCTTAGCGTCCTCATCGTAACTGAGGAAGGGCCGTCTGTGGAGGCTGAGGTGCCGCGGGGCCAGCGGGGCCGGCAGCCGCTGGCTCAGGACGTGCTGCGGCAGGGAGTGAGCGCGCCGGGAGCGCGCCGGGACGCGGTGCTTGGCCTGGGGCGCACACAGGCTCTCAGCCCGGCGCAGGGGCAGCGGGAGAGAGCCCGTGTCCGGGCAGTCCTTCAGGTCCCTCCTCAATACCACCTGACTCTTGCTCTTGAAGAGTTTGTAGATCTTGTTGGTCAGCGTGTGTCTGTATTTGTGGTGGGTCTTCTCTACCTTCAGCTCTGGCCTCCCCACCATGTCCAGGGAGCTCTCGTCACTGTCCTCCGCGTACCCGCTGTCCATGCAGTCCTTCAGGCTGGAGACGAACGACTTCAGGGACTTTCTGGAGACCACCGTCAGCTCCGAGATGGAGTCCTTGGAGGTGGTGAAGAGGGACACTCGCGAGGGCTTAGAACCCTCCTCCGACAGCGCTGAGTACACAGAGTCTTTGGAAATGGCACTGATGGGGGAAAGCAGCGAGTCCCGCTCGGGGGAACAGCCATCGGTTTCCACCTCCTCCTCCTCCTCTTCGTCCTCCGCCTCGTTCTCCGAGGCCATGGGCTCGACAACACTGCACTCTTTGCTGAGGACGTCATTGAGGATATCTGAAAGGCAACCAGAGGGAAAGCGTGTCTGGCATGGGCTCCAGCAAAACCGCTGGAAAACTGATGACTCCAGACAATGACACTACTAGAGTCTGGCCAACGTTCTCTTTGATCCTGCATGGTTTCAAACAAGGAGCTGAAAACCTCCTACTGAACATTCTCAGACTTCCATAAGGTGCTCAGATGCAATGCAAAACAAAACGTGTTTCTTTCCCTGAGGTCACATTCTGTTTTGGTTCTTGAAAGGCAAACACCAGTTGGGGTTTTGCTTCCTTCCTACACAGATTTCACAATGTGGTCACGTCCGATTTGGGTTTAACTGGAGGGCAGGAGGAAAGCAAGGTATTTGGCTAATCAAACCCCAAATCGCCCCACTGTGGGTGGCCTCCCAGCAGGGCTGGACTCACTGCAAAGCTCTGGTCCAGCTCGCTGGCACCAGCAAGCAACGAACACTAAACCTTCACGGGAACAGAAAAGGTCTTCCAGGAATGGGGAAGCTGAAGAGACCAGCTTAGGAGAAGCAGAAGCCACCACTTCCCCTGCAAAAGTACTGTGGCCGGGCCGAGAGCATGGCAAAGGCAGCAGGTCCTCAGTCATCCCTGCTGAGGGTGGGGAAAAAAGCTGCAGTGTCTGAGGAGGTCTCAGCCCCACAAAGACCTGACATCTCAGTTTGGTCAGGCTTTTCCAGCAACAATTATGTCCAGGGCATGAGCAAGGCTTATTCCTTGCAGAGGAGCTTTCTACCAAACAAGGTCTCTATTCTATCAGCATCCCCACGGACTTTGGTGTGACAAACCTCTTCCAGCTTAATGCAAGGAAAAACTTTGCCCAGGAGATGAAGTCCTGCTTCATTTGTCTCTTGGCAACACGTGTTTTGGGGCCACCAGCGTATTGTGCCCACTGCCTGGATGAGGGTTTTGCTTGGGATCACAGCAGGTGTTATGTCCAAGCTCACACCCATGTCCCCTCCCATCCAGGGGACACTGGCACCCACTGCATTATCTCTCCCATCACCACCAACATTTTCATAGAATGGTTTGGGTTGGAAGGGACATTAAAGACCATCCGGTCCAAGACCCTGCCCTGGGCAGGGACACCTCCCACCAGACCAGGTTGCTCCAAGCCCCCTCCAACCTGGCCTTGAACCCCTCCAGGGATGGGGCAGCCACAGCTTCTCGGGGCAACCTGGGCCAGGCTCTCACCACCCTCACACCAAAGAAGTTCTTCCCCACATCTCAGCTCCATCTCCCCTCTTTCAGTTTAAAACAGTTCCCCCTTGTCCCATGGCTCCCCTCCCTGATCCAGAGTCCCTCCCCATCTCTCCTGGAGCCCCTTGAGGGACTGGAAGGGGCTCTAAGGTCTCCCCGGAGCCTTCTCTTCTCCAGGCTGAACCCCCCCAACTCTCTCAGCCCCCCCTCACAGCAGAGGGGCTCCAGCCCTCCCAGCATCTCCGTGGCCTCCTCTGGCCCCATTCCAACAGCTCCACATCCTTCTGATGTTGGGGACTCCAAAGCTGGATGCTTTTTTGGTTGTTACCAGCTCCTTCAGGCTCTGGCCACAGTCTGTACCATATGCCCAGCTGAACGTGTCAGCACCGGGGGAGTTGAAACCCCGCTCAGCCCCCCCCCTGCGACAGGGAGCAGAGGCTTTGGTCTCACTAGGAGGGACAGAGGACCCCCTCCACTTACCGAAGTTGTCCTGGTCCCAGCTGTAAGTGTAGCAGCGAGCGGCAGGGATGGGGATGGTGTGGAGCTTGCGGGGCTGAGCCTCGCCTGGGAAGAGAGGAGGGAGAGCAGTTAGTTTGCGGGGAGCCCCAGTACCACTCCCGACAGCTCTCCCACCAGGTGGGAGATGCCACCCACCCCATACACATGTTTTTGGGCAGCCCTGGTTGTGCAGAGCTCGGCTGCTGTCATTATCCCTGTGAAGTCCCACACAGCTGGGATGAGAGGACATTCCACGCCTCTAAGAGACATCAGCCATCACAGTCTCCCCATTCAACGTTTTCATCTCATCCACAAAGGCTTTTTTTTTTTTTTTTTGTTGCTGTTTTGATGGAAGATGAGAAACAATTTCTGGCTCATCGTGTCGCTACGAAATAGAACCTGGGTTGGTGTTTTGTTCTGTTGTAGCTGGCTTTGTGCAAGGTTGGAACTTTGCAAAAGGGGGGGGTTTTGCTCTTCAAAGGGCTGGCTCCCAGCACCCTCAGGGGAGGTCCTCGCCTGGGCAGAGCCTGAGCTGGCAGAAAACCCTGGAGGAAAGAGGGTGCCGGGGGGGGTGTTCCTCACCCGTGATGGCAGGAAAGGAGGCGGCCCCGGCGATGTCCCGCAGCACGGAGTGCAGCCTCTCCCGGGCCAGGACAGGGTCACTGCTGGTGGCTGCGATCTCCTGTGCATCGGCGGCGCTGGTGTAGATCTCCGAGAGCTCCTCCAGCGTCTTGGACTGGGGCAGCAGAGACAAAAGGAGAGATGGAAGGTGTCTCTCCACAGAGACAATAACGCAGGTCTTTGGGGAAGGTCACTAACCACCACTGGGCAAATCTCTCTCCCTCCTCTACCTCCTACCCCCCTTCCCTTCAACTCCCCCCCCCAGAACTTCTGCAAAGAAAAGAAAAAGTGTTTGAAAACAACTAAGGGGTTTTCTTCAGAAGATTTTGCCTTCCCCACCACCAAAGCAAAGTGTTTTTCTGGTTAAACAAACACTTCTGCTGCATTTCAAATCCAGAGGGTCTTCCCCTCTCTACTTAGGGATGGGGAAAGGAGTAAAAGGGTAAAAGGAGAGTTACCCCACCACCACACTTCATAAAACAGAAGCGTGGACCTCAGGTCTAACATGAGAAAAGTGAAATACGTGTATTTCTCCTACAAGAACTATTGTGAAATTTTTTTTTCCTTGTCAATCAAATATTATTTTGGTCAGGAAATCCACCAGCCACCTGCATGGAATTGCTCCCAACAGCATCTTGGCATCACCGAAGTCAAAGCTCTCTAGGCCTACCTTCAGGAGGTGGTGCAGGCTCTCCAGGTCACAGCAGGTGCCGAAGTTGGCCTGGTAGAGGTGCTCGAGGAGCAGGATGAGCGTGGTGTGCTGTGGTTGCTCACTGGCACTCAGCTGCTCAGCGATGGAGAGGAACTCGCTCTGCACCTCGGACTGGTTGAGCAGCAGCACCGTCCTGGGGACAAGGAGACAGCAGTTAGGCTGGGCATCCAGGCTTGGATGCTGGTGGCACATGAAACTCTTGGACAAATTGCCCCTCTACTCTGATCTGGGGAGACACCCTCTCAGTGCTGCATCCTGCTCTGGGGCCAACAACATCAGAAGGACATGGAGCTGTTGGAGCGGGGCCAGAGGAGGCCATGGAGATGCTCCAAGGTCTGGAGCCCCTCTGCTGTGAGGACAGGCTGAGAGAGTGGGGGCTGTTCATCCTGGAGAAGAGAAGGCTCCAGGGAGACCTTACTGTGAGGGTGGTGAGAGCCTGGCTCAGGTTGCCCAGAGAAGCTGTGGCTGCCCCATCCCTGGAGGGGTTCAGGGCCAGGTTGGAGGGGGCTTGGAGCAACCTGGTGTGGTGGGAGGTGTCCCTGCCCAGAGCAGGGGGGTTGGAACGAGATGATCTTTAAGGTCCCTTCCAACCCAAACCATGCTATGATTCTATGACATTCACGCTAGATGGCAGTGTCCTCTCATGTCAGTCACATCTTGAGGGTCTCGGGGCTGTGCAGGGGGGGCTAGGCCCACACTGCAGAGCCAGCTGCAGGAAGAGAGCACGTAAGGGATGAGCATCCTCCATCCAGCTCCTCAGCACCATTCTTGACATCATCTCTCCTGTCACATCTGCATTATCACCAGCCTACTAATTGTTCAATCAACCCTAGGCAGGGCTCCAGCCCAGCAGCCACTTGTCCTGACTGAACATCCAGCACATGCAATGACGTGGAAGGTAGGAAATTGATTAAAGTGGTCCCTGAAACATCTTCCCCCTGCAAGATGCAGGTCAGAGCATCACTTCTGGGCTTGAAGGAGAAGAGCCACATCCTTCAGCTACATTTTTGTTGCGGACCACAACATGACCCCATATTGGGCACCCTTAAGATTCTGCTGGGCAGGGTGCTGGGCCATCTTGTCTAGACCGTACATTTGCCGAGAAAGGTTGGACCAGATGATCCTTGAAGCACCTTCCAACTGATGTTCTACGATTCTATGGATATCCACGGGCTTTGAATTCCTAAACCTGCAGCCCAGAGAGCATGTGTCCCCATTCGTGGAGGAGAACACTCCACCTCTGAGCAAAGATGGCTCTGAATTAAGGATGTGCTCTGTTGTGGTTGGGTCTAGAAAGCTTAGCAATGGGCACAAGCTTTCAATAAACTGAAAGTTCAGCTTGTGTACGGTTCTGTGCCAAGTTTTCGGGGTTTTTTATGCAAATACAGCCATCCTGCTGTAAATCATCGGTGGTTGCACTTGCACCCCTATAAAGAAACCTGTAGAGCATCAGACCGGTACTGGAAAAGCAATGCAGCAGCACCAGCACAGCTGGGTGGGATTCGGGTGCAGGTCCAGAGCTGCAGGACATCAGTGGACAGGTCAAAACAGCAGGGGAGCCTTCCTGCATGGAGCGGCTGTACACCAAGGACTGTCCCTGGGGCTGGCACCGCAGCCAGGAAGGGCACACGCCACCTGGGCTCATTTTCCTATTTACAAATGAGGTGCCCTGGCAAGAGGAGAGTCTCTGCCCTCAAACATGGTGCAACGTCTGGCTGCGCTCAGAGCTGCAAGGTTTTCAGTCATCACTGCACTGGGATGGACTCGCTTCTGACCCCCTTCAGGGTGGTGGTTCCCAAACCGAGTGTCTCCTGGCCGTTCTCCAATGTGTGATGAGACCAACAGCTCCCTGTGGAGGAGGCTTTGCCTTCCTTGGCTGCTTTCACCCAGACCTGCAGCCCTGCAGTGAGCAGGGCTGTGGGGACAACCCACATGGGGAGCCTGCAGCCAGTGACATCACTTTCCTCGTCCTTTCCCACAGCTCAGCCCAGCTCTCCAGCTCTTCTCCCCAGCACCCACCACTCACACTTTTGAGATGCTGCTCACTGCAGCCCCTGTGAGAGACCGCGCGGATGCTACAGGGTGGCACAAGCAGTGCCCACGGCCACACTTACACGGTGGAGCTCTGGTAGTTCTTCACAGGCAGTCCCTGCTCTGTCCTCACCAGCCTCTGGAAGGAGATCCCTGGGGGAGAGAAATCAGAGGACATGAGCCATGGCCCCACTGCAGACCGCTCTGCCCCAGGAGCACGGTGATTTTGTCTCCCGAAGCGGTGCTGACCTAGTTGACCTGCTCCCTGGAGCAGGTATGGTGGCACCAAAAGAGCTTATGGGGATAAGGCACAGCCACCACGTAAGGGGACCAGTGGAGGAGCAAGGGACCACTGGGGTGTAAAGAGTAAAAGCCCAGAGCTATGGAAAAGCAACCCGAGGAGGGGACAGGAGAGCTGCTGATGGGGGATGTGAATTGCTTGGATGACATTTAGCAGCTTCTGCCACTTGTTTTAGCCCCCCAGGCCCCGGATCTCGCCAATGGACAGCAGGTCACTGCCACCTTCCCTCCCACAGAGATGGAGCCCAGACTGGTCCCAGCAGAAAAGAGGCTGGCGTGGGCACCCCATATCCCTAGAACGCTTCCCTAGGACTGTCCTCAGGGTGCCATCGGGAACCCCAACAAGGTGACATCAGATGGACTGGTACTGGCAACAGCAAAGCCCACCTCACCCCCAAAGATCCAGACTGGGGGCACATCTTGGGAAAGATCCAGCAGCAAGATCCAGCACCCTTGTCACCGAGGGCAGCCACGTCCCAACCCCAGCTGCTGCTCAGCAGCCCAGGAGCAGCATCCATGGGGCGGACCCAGCACCCAGGGGCACCTCATGTTGATCCACACAGGCCCCCTGAGCAGTCACCCCTCTTGCAGAGGCATCCGCTCCAGTCTGCAGATAAAAGCCACCGCATTCTTGGCAAATATTAACAGCAGCTTGTTCTCAGTTAATATTTACTCTCATCTCAATAAAAAGCTTTTTGCTTCAGCCTCGTGGCAGGTCACAGAGGCCATGCCACAAGTGTTAAAGGTCCTGCTCACCAGCAGAAGACACGTTCTTGATGTTCTTAACTCCAGTTGGGGGGCAGCACTGGGCTCCCCAGCCCCAGCATCTCCTAGATGGTATCTTTTGGCAGGGTGGGGGAATCTCATGTGCTTGTAGGAGGGGAAAATCTTTCAGACCAAAGTCTCCAGCTCACACAGCCTTGGCACTGGTGATGGTGGTGATGGCACAGGATGTAGCAAAACAACTCCTCCCCCACCCTCAGCACTGGGACTTTCCCAGTGGTCTGCAAAACATGGCCTGACCAGTGTCACAGCAATAAGTGACCAGGAAGGAGCTGGGGAAGTCCATGGCTGCAGCAGCATGGGATGAGTGTCCCTATGTCTGTGCTGGCCCTGCAGCTTGGAGCTGGAGGATGGACACAGCACCACAACCCAGCCAGACCTTGCCTGGTGACCATGGCCATTTATACTGGTGGAGCCTTGAGCTGGGAGTAAATCAACCAGTCCAGGGCCAACACTGCAGAGAGGTTTGGGGTTTTTTTTAAATCTTTTTGTTCCTTTGAAAGCATTTTTCATCCCATCTACACCTATGATCTCCCATCTCTGCAGGATGTTGCTGCCTTGATGGAGACCTTGCATTTCATGTCCCCATCAGGGCTCTCCAAAGCTTTGAGGAGATGGGGAAGCACCTCCAGCCTCAGCCACAGCCCATGTGCAAGGTCTCCCAAGTCCTGCTCAGAGCCAGCCTTGCTGCCACGGCCCCACGCTGGATTAAACAAGGGCTGAAATCTGCTCTGTGTGATAACTGCTCTCCGTAAGGCACCAAAAGACGGGGAGATTAGGAGAAAAGGGCCTTTTAGAAATAATTGGAAGAGCTGCTCCATTGGGAACAACAGGAAATCTATGAGGAGCCCTTAATTAAGAGGAGCACTGCTGCTGCTGTTAGATGTGCCCAAAGCCGCATCACAAGGTAGTGTCTCGGCTGTAAAGAAAGAGCCGGGGAGTCCCTCAGCCCTATGGAAATCTCCACGCAAGGGCAGGCTTGAAGGCTCCAGCCACCTTCATGCCAATGAATGGACCCACTGTTATCACCCCACCGAGCATCTCCTCAAACAAAGCCCAGGGCTGGGCGGGAGCAGCCAGCACGTGCTTTGCCATGGAAAAGACCCACCAGACTGAAAGGCAGCCAGGAAATAGTTACACATTTCGCTAATTCACAGTGATCCAGAGCTGAGTGAGGATCCCTAGGATTCTCCCACCACCTTGCACGCAAGGCAGCCACGAAAAACCCAACCCTGCCCTGCTCCTCCAGAGGAATCTGGTCTCACCCTGTGCTGGACCACCAGGGAAAATCATCCAGAGGATGCAGGGAGAGGTCCTTGCCTCCTGGAAAAGCTGAGCTTTGGGATGCACAAGGTAAAGGGGGACACCACACTCAAGGGATTCATGAAGCAAATGGGGTACGAGACAGCAACGGCAGGAGAGCCTCAGGAACAAGCACGGGGTGGTCAGTTTTTGAGGAAGCAGCAGATGCAGACCCCGGGGCAGGGGGGAACGCTCACCGGGGGCCTTGAGCTCATCGCTGATGAAGGTGAGCAGCTCACGGAAGATGTCACAGTAGGGCACGGGCCAGGTGAGGAAGCTGTGGTAGATGCTGGCGGCTTTCAGGAGCAGGTCAGAGCCTGGTGGGAAGTGGGGGGCCTGCAGGGGATGGGGAGACAGGGTTAGAAAGGGAGAAAGGACACAGACCTCGAGCGCTGCGTAAAAACTCGAGGGTTGTAGGCTGGAAGTGGGAGGAGGAGAAGCAGATCGGAGCAGAGGTTCACCCCGGTCCTCTCCCAGGGAAGGGTCAAAGCATCCCCTCTGGGCACAGCTCCGAGAAAGCTTCATCCGCTCTGCACCCTCCCAACCTCCCGGCTGCAGCTCACGTGCCAAAGCCTATATATAAATTTCTTTTTAACAGCCACAGGTCCATACAGATGAATCGCATTACAGCCTGTGCTTTTGCAAGATCTGGCAGCAACGATTTCCTTGGGATAATGATGCATTGTGCTAATAATAATAATAATAAAAAAAAGTATTTCCTGTGAAGGTTCCACTCCTTCTTTTCATTAGCGTTGCCTATATATTTTGCACAAGTATGAAGGGTAATGAAAAAAAATTTTCCTTTCTGCACAGAGATATTGTCCATCTCCCTTTCTCATTAGCCCATCTTTAAATAAAAAGCTTAAAAGCCACTGAAGCTCTTTTTTTTTCATCTCTCAGCTTGTGCAATGGTTGCCTGGTCTTGATCCCTGTAGATTCATACATGATCTTTTGGGGGTTTTTTTTGAGATGAATTGATCAAAGCAGACGATGGTGTTTCAGAAGAAAGCCACCCCGATTTGGGTGACTGTCCTGTGGCACCCCCGCTGCCTCCCCACAGGCTGGGACCAAGCTAGGAGCAGCAGCCTTCAGACTTACATACAGGACCGCATAGTAGAAGAGCAGAGCCAGGGGGGGTACGAGGTCGTAGTCGCACTTCTCCTGCACCTGTAGGGAACAGCCCGAGGGCAGAAGGATGAGCTGGTGGTGGTCGCCATGAGCCATTACCCAAAAGCATCCTTGGAGGTGCTGGGAGACTCCCCGACAGCGCAGCCGAGCACCCAACCCACACCATCACATCGTTATCCCTTGTCTCCAAGGGAAAACAACCCCTAAAGCCCCACACCGATGGGACAGGCAGATCAGCACAGACTGTGCTGCCGTTACCCTCGACATCTGGCCAAGCTCCCAGCCCTCCCATGCTCCCCATCCTTGTGGGGCTGCACCAAATGCTTTGGAAGGCCCAAGGCAGGCTGTTCAGAGAGGCAGGCAGCCAGCCCAGCCCCTGCGAGCGGCCTGCAAAGCTCAGCAGCACCGGGCAAACCATGGATTTTTGTCCAATTTTGGGCCCATTGTGTCCAGTTTTGGGCCCCTCACCACAAAAAAAAGACATTGAGGGGCTGGAGTGGGTCCAGAGAAGGGCTGGTGAGGGGTCTGGAGATTAAGGCTTATGAGGAGAGGCTGAGGGAGCTGGGGGTGTTCAGTCTGAAGAAGAGGAGGCTGAGGGGAGACCTTCTCACACTCTATAACTACCTGAAGGGGGGTGTAGAGAAGCGCGGGTTGATCTCATCTCCCAAGTCACAGGAGATAGGACAAGGGGAAACGGCCTCAAGTTGCACAAGGGGAGGTTTAGATTGGAGATTAGGAAAAATTTCTTCATGGAAAGGGTTATTCAGCATTGGAATGGGCTGCTCAGGGAAGTGGTTGAGGCACCATCCCTGGAGGTGTTCAAAAGACATGGCCCTCAGGAATACAGTTTAGTGGTTTTTTTTTTTCTTTTTTTTTTGTCAGAGTTAGGTTGATGGTTGGCCTAGATGATCTTTAAGGTCCCTTCCAACCTAGACAATACTATGATTCTATGATTTTTGTCCCAGCCTTTGCTGGTGAGGAGCCAGCAGAATTATTTCACCGAGGGACAGCGATGGCTCAAGGATATGCTTGCAGACACTCCCCCCTTGTTCCTGAGCACAGCACAAAGGGCAATAAACGCTTACACAAACCCTAGGGCAATAAAATGCTATCTGAGACTACATCAATTCCAGCCATTAAAAAATAATAATAAATGGATCAAATCAAATTGTGCTAATCTTAACTGGTATCAGCTCCACAGCCTGGCAGCCAGAGAGCCTTTCTTTCCCCCAGAAAATGAAAGGCAGCATTTACCCCATCACATGAATCCCAGTGCTGCGGATTTAGGAAACACATCATGGTTTCCTGCCACATCAAGAGATTCTTCCGAGGTGTTCCCGGCCACAGCCTGAGCCAACCCTGCTCAACTGATGAAGCCTTGAGCTTCTCCAGCACATGATGGGACCACTGCAGGTCAATACCATCAGCCCTGTGGCCTTTTCACATCCCCACTAGGCTTACCCTGACTGCTGCTATGCCCTGCGAACCCTGAGTGGTCACCAGCATCCCAGCTCCCGCAGGAAGCCCGCCAGAGCCATGGCAAAGTTTCCACGAAAAAAACAACAGGAAACCTTCAATATGCTCTGATTTGGACTAGCAGCTCCCCAGGCGTAAGCTGGGACAGTCAGGGGAAGGCTGGCTCCATCCGTGCAGCCCTACGACCCCGCGTCCTGGTTTGAGCGACACAGGACTGATTTCTCTTCTAATGCCTGGGAGAACTGCACTTTTAGATGACTCCAGTGTCTGAATTTGTGAAAATATTTACTTTACAGCCAGCCATGGCGTGTGGGTTTCAAGGTCTCAGTGTTTCCGAGCTCCCCAGGTGCAGGGATGAGGAGGAGCGAAACCCGGGCACTCGACCGAAGCTGCCAATGGGGTTATTTCATACCATGAATGTCACATTCGATATAAATTAGAGAGTTTGCTGAGGAGTTCTCTCTCTCCCTTGATGGCTGCCACCCTGAGAACTCCTTGCCCCGGTGCCAGGTCCCTGAGCCTTTCCCTTCCTCCCGAAGCCGCAGCGCTCGCAGGGTCCCACACGGGCTGTCCCTGCGGGGAGAGCACGGCTTCTGCTGGGGAATGGGCTGGGGATCAATATTTGGTCTTTAGTGTTATTAATGTTAATTATCTAGTCTCATTCTATCAAATATGCTTAAATTTCAGCCCTTGGGTTTCCTTGTTTTTTCCTAATTCCCTTCCTGGGTGGGCAGGGGTCATTGGGTGGTAGATTAATTGTCTAAACGACAATAAATTGTTGTGGGTTCCTCAAACCATAAAACCTGGGCTGCCCCTACCACGGCACTGAGCATCGCTTTGCGAAATCAAACCCCTTCCCCGTGGATCTGCGGGGCTGCCTGAGGAGCAGGTATTGGAGCTGGGACTTTCCCTTGCAGTTCCCACATGCTGAAAGCCAGCAGGACACACGGGGCTGTCCCACCAGCGTTTCGGACCTGCCCACCCAGCGTCACCCAAGTCCAAGCTCCGGTGCTCCAGCAATACCTTACCACAACCCAAAAATCATCAGCCAAGCTCAGCAAAACTCCACCTGGGGCAAGTCCCAGAGCTGCTGCCACCTCAAAGCTGGCAGATCCCCCCTGGCAGCCCCCAACTCACCTCTTTGGCCTTGCCAAGGATCTTCTCCACCAGGATGAGGTAGTTGCCAGCATCTCGGCTCACCAGCTCCTGCAGGCTCCAGCAGTTGAGGCACAGCCCGGCTGCGGGAGAGACAGAGCTACCATCACTCACAGCCCCCTCCAAGGTCACAGGAGGGACCAACAATGGGAAAAGGTCAGGACAAAGGTGTTCACCGCCTGCATCAGATCATGGCAGAGGAAAAAACCTTGTGCCCTCATTCTGGACAGATCCGAGCTGGCCAAATGGTGCTTATCTCAGTGGCATCACTTCATATCCCAGCAGCTCATGAAGCCTGGGTGGGATGCCTCTTCCCCAGGAGGCTGGGAAACACACCCTTTTGTGTGGGCTGCTGAGGCTGGAGAGATATGTGTGGCACGGCTGGATGTCTGAGCACAGAAAACCCACTGCTACGCCCCCTCCCCGACCCTGCCACCCCCAGGCTCAAATGCCCCAGATGCTCTATCCCAACCATAAATAAGTTCCCTCAAATGCTGCAAAATTCAGCTCCCTGCCAGGAACATGTCCAGCACCCTCCAGCTGCACCACACCCGAGGGGAGATGCTGCAAGCCCCCGACCAGTTTCCCCACCACATCAGCATCAGCGCAGTCAGACCTCACATCAGCATCGCTGCTAAACCTGCCCAGCATTTATTCCACCTCTTAGCACCTTCACACTTGCACTAAGTGTACCAAAACCCCACCAGGAGTTTACCCAGACACTGAGAAAATTGCTGGGCAAAGGGATGGAGGGTCCTTCACCCCATTTGATCGAAACCTACCCCCCAGCCTCCATCCCCAGACATCTGCCTCTCGCTGCTGGGACCCCACGGGTGACAATGGCCCAAGGTGTTTCCCGAGGCCGTGGCTTTTCTTGGCGTTCAGGGCCACCTCCCAGATGGTCGGTAGAGGAAATGACCCAGGTGAAGGCTGCCGGGTGCCTCCATTCATCCCAGCGCAGCATCCCAGGGGAGGAGGAGGAGCTGTTCTCCAGCTCCAGACCTGCAGACCAAGAAGGCAGCAGCACCTCCTCCTTCTCTTTCTCCTCCTCCTCCTTTTTCTCCTCCCTCCTCCTCCTCCCCAAGGGCCCAGGCATCTCCCCCATCCCACATGGCCATGGATTCTTTCACCAGGAGCGGACACGGCACAGACACCGCACACGGCCCGGTGCAGGGGGTGCTGACATCGGGGCTCTTCAAAGCTCAGTCCAAAAGGAAAACCAAGAGAAACAGAGCATCTCTTACTCCAGGGAAGAGGGGCTAAGGATCAGAGAGGAAAAATAAAACATAAATCCAGTGGCTCTTCACTCAGACAGTCTATTAAGTGTCACAGAAACATGACAAACACCAACCCATGCGTGTTGGCTGTCGTGCTGGAGCTAACAAGGAAGAAACAATGCCGTGAGCTGGCAAGGGGACAGCAGCATTCATCACACATCTACAGGTCACGCTGTCTGTCCCTCAAACGTTACTCCCAGCTGCAGAGGCTACAAATTCATCAGACATATGGGCATGTAAATGCCATTAAAATACCTTTACACACCTTGTAGCGTTAAACAAGATTAATTTAAATGAGGGGAGAGGTCTGCTGTGGCCCAACTGGGAGAAGGACGAGGCCAAGACAAGCACAGCAGTGCTAAGGTTGTAAAAACAGCCTTCACTTGCCCCCCCCGCGTTGACAGGCATTCCTTCACCAGGACACACACTATTTCTGCGGTTTTATGCCCAGCTTGTATCTGAATTGCCAGGGCAGGAGCCTTCCCCCATAGGAAACCCCTCCCCTTCACTGCCACGCAACTTTTTACTTTCAATGAATCAACATTTTCCAGCAGAGAAAGACCTGCTGGAAAGTTTCCAAGGAGCTGGGATGCACTCGCTGTTAATGACAGTGGCAATTCTTAATTTGCCACCGGTACTCCTGGCATCTCGCTGGGTTTGCTGACACCCAGAGCACAACCTCGGATGGTGATATCTTGCCAGCAAAGATACAGCCACAGCGACACGGTAATTCAGTGATGCTTCACTTTTCCTTTGAGCCCCTTCCATAAACCATAGAATCATAGAATGGTTTGGGTTGGAAGGGACCTTAAAGACCACCTAGTTTCAACCTCCCACTAGACGAGGTTGCTCAAAGCCCTGTCCAACCTGGTCAAAGCCATGGCTCTGCCTAGGATTCTTGGGCAAATTGCTCAAATAAATCAATATTGTCCCAGAGCACAGCATCCTCCAGGGAAAGCCCCAGCATCTGCGAGATAAACAAGAAAGCAACTGGCCCAGCAGAAGTGGTCAGAGCTGCCGGGAGCTTTGCTGACCTCGGCAAGAAGCAGCTGGGCTCACGAGCATTCAAAGAACCCAATGTGCTTCGGCTGGGAGGATTAATTCTCCCATACTCTTCTCCCAAGGTGATAGGACAAGAGGAAATGGCTTCAAGTTGTGCCAGGGGAGGTTTAGACTGGAAATTCGGAAAAATTTCTTCACTGAAAGCCTTGGAAGAGGCTGCCCAGGGCAGTGGTGGAGCCACCATCCCTGGAGGGATTTAAAAGAGGTGGCGCTGAGGGACAAGGGTTAGTGGTGGACTTGGCAGCGCTGGGTTAATGGTTGGACTCAATGCCCTTAGAGGTCTCTTCCAACCACAACAATTCTGTGAGTCTGTGATTATTTCAACCGAGAGAGCCCGGCCCCGCTGCAGCTGCCCAGGGGGAAGCCCGGCCGTGGGGAGAGGGATCCGGGAGAGCACGGGAGCTGAGCTCCGCCGGGGAGCATCGCCAGGCGAGGAGAACGCCGCTTCCTGCGCCAGCGTAACCGCAAATACAAATAGCCCAGCAAGACGCAGGCTCTTTTTCCTTCCTCTCACTTCTAGCGAGGGAGGAGGAAACTGCGGTGGCAGCAGCTCGCTGCCCTACTCTGTGTGAATGGGGCATCCTGCTGTGAAAGGGCTGGGGGGACAGGCAGGGAGTGGGGAGAGGGGCAGGGCTCGAGGGAAGTGTCTTACAAATACCATTTACACCAATTTTGGGGTCTCCTACAGGAACCGTGAGCTGAAGCACAAGGATGCAGCCAGGTAGATTCGAATAAGATCGCTATAATCAGAACTTCTGTTTAACTCCAGGCATTGGGATTCCCCTGGGGTGCAGCCAAACAGCACTGGGAGCCAAGAGGCTGCCAGGGCCTGGGCTCCTAAATTTGGCAAAGCAGCATTCACCGAAGTCACACCAAACCAGCTGCGTCCTTGCTAAAAATAGTCTCAAGCACAAAACGCAGCTTGGAGATCCTGGACACAATAAACAAAGACTATGCCACCAAGTGAAGTGTCCGGTACCACCAGGCATCACTCAGGACAGCGGATCCAGACCTGAGTGGGAATTCCCTTCCCTTTGCCCACAGTTCGGATCAGGAGCATCTACTTTCCAACCACTGGAAGCAAAATTAGTCCCCGAAGCTATATCCCCTGTTATCCAGACTAAAAAAGTTATTTGGGCATGGAGGGTGATGCTCCTTATGTGCACAGGTGACATTAAAAAGTGCCTTTCTGTTCCTCTGCAGATGTCCTGCGTCTGCCTGGGACACAGCTGGGCGCTGTGGTAGCACCCAGGGGCTTTTATGAACTGCAGAGCAGCACTTGGTTTGTTCCCAGGCTGGGGAAAGGCTGCAGCTCCGTGAGAAACCCAGTCCCAAGAAGTTGTATTTGCAGCCTCCTCTGTCTCAGTGCACCCTGTCTGCTGCTGGCTTGGCGTGACAGTGAATAGTGCCACCACACCAGGAGAGGCCACAAATCACAGGGACAACTTGGGAGCAGTGCTTTACACCATGGCAGAGCATCACACAGCACAAAGCCCAAAATGGGTGCGTTCCCCTGAGCCCAGGTTTGCTCAAAACCAGCAGCATCAGACCCTGCCAGGCACCCTCCCCTGTGCCAGGATGGACCAAGGTGGGATGTCCACTGAGAGCAAGCAGAAAGCTTGAACCAGGCTTTCTCCTGGGCTTTGCACTTGCTCTTTAGTTGCCCTCAAAAAGCATTTCTCACTATGAGATACAAAGCAGACCCCAGATTTGTGGGGATTGTGCAACTCAAGGATGCCCTGGGGTGTCCCTCCAGGCAAGTGGAGGGATGCTCCCTGTCATCACTGCAAGCAGGAGGTGTGCTCCCTGTTACTGCCACTCTACCAAGTTGTGTGAGCACTGGGAAGTCCTGTGTTGGTGGGAAAACACTTCCCCTTGCTCAGCTAAACCCATAGCAAGGCTGGGATGGCAGAGCTCAGGCAGGTGGCTCTAACTGAGAGAAGCAATAAGTAAAATCACACACACAAAGTGCTCAACACCTTAAAGGAGAGCGGTCCCTGGGGTGAGCTCCAGTCCTGGAGGTGTCAAGATGCGCCTTGTGCAGGCAGCACTAACCAAGACTTCACCTTCCACCCCCTAAATCCAATGAGTTTGTCCCAAGAGGCACCAGAGACCTCCCCGGAGGGCAGCAGAAAGTTCCATGGCTAAAAAGCTGCTTACATCCACCCTGCCCTCATGCTCATCCATCCAGTTTTGCCCCACTAGGGCAGAGACCCAGCGCTACTCATTTTTTCTTTATACACAGAGAATGAGTCAGATTCGTCTGCCAGCAGCACAGGCAGCCGAGAGCACATCATGGTCCCATCCCAGTTGGGGGATGCTGGGGCTGTGCTTATCCCAGCACCCGACGCAGCGTGCTTGGACCGAGCCCAATGTGATTAGGTTTAGATTAGATATTAGGAAAAAATTTTACACTGAAAGGGTTATCAAACACTGGAACAGGCTGCCCAGGGAAGTGGTGGAATCATCATCTCAGGGGGTATTTAAAAGATGGGTAGATGCAGTGTTTAGCAATATGGTTGAGTGATGGTTTTTGTCAGTGTTCAACTGATGGTTGGACTCAATCTGAAAGGTCCCTTCCAACCTAGACAATTCTATGATTCTCTGAAAAAAGTATCTATCCAATTTAGCCTAAGCTCAAAGAAGCATCTTTGACTTATTTAAGGGTTATTAAGCATTGGAACAGGCTACCCAGGGCAGTGGTTGAGGCACCATCCCTGGAGGTATTTAAAAGCTGGGTTGACACAGTGCTTAGAGATATGGTTTAGTGATGGTTTTTATCAGAGTTAGGATTATGGTTGGTCCCAATGATCTTAAAGATCCCTTCCAACCTGGACAATTCTGTGATGCGGACCCAAAGAAAAAGCTCCCTTTGGAAGAACAAAACCCTCAGCAAAGCCTCCGGGGCAGGGACCCGAGACCCCTGCACTGGGGCACGGAGCACACTCTTGCTTTGATCGCTATCGGCCCCGGTGAAGATGCCGGCAGCGTGCCGGGAGCCGGGCAGCCACGGCCCCGTGGGCGGCCTCGGAAGGATGAGGCTTCGCGATTTCTTTTCTGAGAAGTGCACCAAGACACCCTCCCTCCCTCCCTCCCTCCCAGAGCGGCTCCTTCCTGACCCTGGTGGTTGACATTTCCCCTCTGCCGCTCTTCACTGGGGGCAACTGTTAAGTCGGAAAAACAAAAACAAAACACACACAAAAAAAAAAAAAAAACCCCACAAAAAAAAAAAAAAAAAAAAAAAGACTTTAAGTCTGTGGAAAAAGATGTAAATATGGCATGGGGTCGGTCCGC